CAGAGGCGGGTCAGGAATCCGCTGAGGCGGGTCCGTCGCCCGTGATTGATCCGGTGCTCCCGTCCCGGGTGCTTCAATCCGGTTTACCGCTGCCGGATTACTGGTTCCTGCTCCGGGCGTGCTGAAGAGATTCCTTGCCTCATAAATCGGAGGTAGACGAGACTGACGTCTCCTCCTCAACACGTCGTTTGAAGCGTTCTGATCCAGCATGAGCTGGTAATTTTCTGCTTGAATCCGCTGCACCTGAGCATCCAAAGCGGCCCGCTCTGTAGCCATCCTGGTTTCCTCAGCCGCCAAGTCCTCCTTGGCCTGAGCTATCTGATCTCGCAGCTTTGTGACCTCCGCGTTATGCTGATCCTGATTATCCGTGGTAACCTCTGTGGTCAACAATGTCGTCCAAGCGTCCAATAAACCAGACAGAACTTGAGCCGGCGGGCGCACGGGGCCTCCTGACCCGGCTGCCGATCCGGAAATCATTGCCGCTGCTGATGAAGAGTGCTGCGTGGGCTGCATACCGGCCATGAAGATCGCAACCCGGTTCGGCGGGTCAAGGGGGTCCGGAATAATGTCGCCATCGAAACAGCCCCCAAACCGGCCATCTTGCAGTTGATACAGTGACTCGGTCTCACCGGTGGATGATTCGCCATCTGAATAAGCGACCGTATCACCATCGGACACCGGTTCAGACTCCACACCATTGATGAATCCTACGAACGCACGCTTCATGGCAGGCTGAACCTGGGCTGGGCTTGCACGCTGAGCCGCCTCGATGAGGTCGGTGCAGATGTCCGGCTCAGGGCCCGGTTCGCTGCTCTTGCCGATTAAGACGTGAATTCCTCCAAAGGCGACCCGGTACCCATACTCGATTCAGCCGGCATCGGGGCCCCAGCCTGCGTCGTTGATGTAGAGCTTGCCGCAACGACTCTTGGTCATCCGGCCCACGGCGTATCCCTTGAGTCCTTCGAAGTTGCCCTTTAAGAACTCGAAACCATCGTGCGATAGCCCCATGGTGGGCGCCAACTGTTGTGGAATTAACACGTCAGATGTCCTAGTGTGAGGACTTAGTCGTGGAGCCATCGCATCGAGATTAGCTTAAAGGGGTTAAACAGGACAAAGGACACGGGGAGCTTATACTGGTTTGGCTCCTTGCGGTGAAGGTAAAAGCCTACGATCCAGTTCTGGTGGAATTGATGGGGTCTCGATGATCAGGGAGCAAATCCGCTTTACCTGGCTCTCGCGTTGTTGTTTCTTGTCCCTGAACCGCCGCCGGGTCGTCCCTTTATATACATGATACGTCTCCAACGTATCTATAATTTATGAAGCATTCATGCTATATTACTATCTGTTTTGAATGATTATGGGGTTTATTATACACTTTTATATTACTTTTGGGACTAACCTATTAACCGGAGGCCCAGCCCATATTGCTGTTTTATTGCCTATTTCAGTATTTCGAAGAAAAGGAATATCAAACGGAGTCCAAACGGAATGAAACCTTCGGCAACGTGAATTTTTTGGAAGAATATCATCCTGGAGACGTGGAGCTCAAGTCAGAAGATACTCGAGGACTCCACGAGATAGGAGGGCGCCCCCCTGTAGGGCGCGCCCCCCTGTCTCGTGGGCCCCTCGAGCACCTCCCGACCGACTTCTTTCACCTATATAGTCCCACGTACCCTAAAAACATACACGGAGAAGATAGATCGGGAGTTCCACCGCCCCAAGCCTCTGTAGCCACCAAAAACCTATCGGGAGCCCTTCCCGGCACCCTGCCGGAGGGGGGATCCTTCACCGGTGGCCATCTTCATCACCCGGCGCTCTCCATGACGAGGAGGGAGTAGTTCACCCTCGACGCTGAGGGTATGTACCAGTAGCTATGTGTTTGATCTCTCTCTCTCTCTCTCTCTCTCTCTCTCTCTCTGTCTCTCTCGTGTTCCCTCTATGGCACGATCTTGATGTATCCCGAGCTTTTCTATTGTAGTTGGATCTTATGATGTTTCTCCCCCCTCTACTCTCTTGTGATGAATTGAGTTTTCCCCTTTGAAGTTATCTTATCGGATTGAGTCTTTTATGAGAACACTTGATGTATGTCTTGTCGTGCTTATGTGTGATGACAATGGGATATCATGTGCCTCTTGATGTATGTTTTGGTGACCAACTTGCGGGTTCCACCCATGAACCTATGCATAGGGGTTGGCACACCTTCTTGACTCTCCGGTAGAAACTTTGGGGCACTCTTTGAAGTACTTTGTGTTGGTTGAATAGATGAATCTGAGATTGTGTGATGCATATCGTATAATCATGCCCACGGATACTTGAGGTGACAATGGAGTATCTAGGTGACATTAGTGTTTTGGTTGATTTGTGTCTTAAGGTGTTATTCTAGTACGAACTCTTTTATAGATCCATCTGAAAGAATAACTTTGAGGTGGTTTCGTACCCTACCATAATCTCTTCGTTCGTTCTCCGCTATTAGTGTCTTTGCATGTTGAGGGCTTGTTATATGATTTATCTATATTATTATTGTTGAGAGAACTTGTACTAGTGAAAGTATGAACCCTAGGCCTTTTTTCCTATCATTGCAATACCGTTTACGCTCACTTCTGCCCTTAGTTACCTTGCTGTTTTTATAATTTCAGATTACAAATACCTTTATCTACTATCTATTTTGCACTTGTATCACCATCTCTTTGCCGAACTAGTGCACCTATACAATTTACCATTGTATTGGGTGTGTTGGGGACACAAGAGACTCTTTTTTATTTGGTTGCAGGGTTGTTTGAGCGAGACCATCTTCATCCTACGCCTCCTACGGATTGATAAACCTTAGGCCATCCACTTGAGGGAAATTTGCTACTGTCCTACAAACCTGTGCACTTGCAGGCCCAACAACGTCTACAAGAAGAAGCTTGTGTAGTAGACATCAATACACAGGTTGATGCCCGGCAGTTTACAGAATCCCGACGCCGGCTCATACACATGTCCGGCTCGGTTTCAACCTTTTCCTATCTTACAATACAAGTTATACAATGTATGTCGGTTTATGACTATAAGCCCTAATCCGCCTTTTGGCCTTGGGCCTTTAAGTCTCTTAGTAAAGCGCCACAATCCTTGTCTTCATGGGCTTCAATATGAATGACTTGTTACGAGTATAACCCGGCGCCTCCTGGGCGGTTTATACTCAGTAGTTATATCCCCAACACGGACCGTAACCATTGCTGTGCTTGCTGCATCGCAACGTCTTTGACGACGGCACGTGGTGGAACTCCTGGGCTAGTCCCGCAGAACCAGGACTCTCAGGGGCGGTAGTTCCTGTCATGCTGGTGGTGGCCTCCTCCTTCGTTGGGGGTAGTGGGATCATTGGGTGGTAGATGGCGGCATGGGGGCCTGTTGGTCTGCTCCGAAGAATATAGGTGGTCTGGCCCTGGTGTTCTTTGAGCACCAAGGTGTCGATCTACTTCATTACGACCTCCTCGATTTGTCCACCGTCGAGTTCCCGTCTTCCTCTCAAAGATCTCTGCAGTTTTGCGTAGGGTGCTACTAGATCTCCAGAGCGGAATCGATGCGGTCACACGCCCATATCTTTAGCCAAAGTAGGTTCATTTGGGCGAGGCGGGAAGCTTCTCCTTCTTCTCGGTACCATGGGACATGTCTTAATGTAGATTTTCATGAAACTGACAGGTGGAGAAATCATGGTGGTTGCGATCGGAGGTTGGTATTGACAGGGAGGGTACTGGTTGTGTTGAAGACAATGTGGCACAAGTTCTCCCTGTGTGTCGGGTGTTTGGCGACTTGCCGCAGTAGCCTTGGCAAGCATGGGTGGCAACATCGGTGGACTGCATTCTTGGTGCTACTCCTCGAGTACCGAACCATGATTTTCAGGGTGTAAATCCAAGGTCTGGCCTTCATTGGTTGTACCTGGCAATGACCTTGTTGAAGGCATTGTTCTGGAACTCAGACTTTCACCAGAGTGAAAACTGAAGATTTTCGACCGAGCGACGACAAGGCTTGTGCTTTATTTCCTCTTGAAAGCGTTTCTTTCGAAGAATCTCGTTTGTAGTACATGTGTTGTCTTCGGCGATGATTAGAGTGCTACTATTGCGAGTTGTTCAACATCACGACGGGGTCTTTCTTTTTTTTCTTGGTTGTGTGCATCCCTGATGTTTTTGGACATTTTATTGGTGCATAGGCTGAGTGTATTTGATATCATCGCAATACTATTATATTCGCTTTATCAAAAAAGAGTGGATTGTGGATGCTTAGAAAGAAAGGTCGGGGGCGGAGAACGAAGGTGGGGACAAGGGGAAAGTGACTAGGTGAACTGCGCCATAGTTTTTTCTGGAAGACTACCCTGTGCCTGCCTGGATGTTGGCATAAGGGTTTATCTGGACTAGCGAGATTCGTGCGCTCACATGGGAGGTTTGTCATGATAGTAAGATAAACAGTTACGATGAGCATCAGGCTACAGCGAGGTTTGTCAGACAATACATATGATCTAGAGGTTATAACGTAATAACGTAACCTCTAGATCGGTCGCTAATGGAATTGATTAGTAGTTTTGCCTTGATGTGACAGAGCCCGGCCGTATTCCAAAGTGTAAAACAAACGGCAGGAACATGCTGCATGCATGATTGGTTCAGCTGAACACTTTAGCTGCTAATATAAAATATATCAAAAGGCTACCAGCGCTCACATGCGAAGGGATGCTCGTCGTAATTGTTTAACTTTTTACTAGCAAAGAAACTTTGGTTTGCTTTAGCTACAGTACAAATGAACCGATGGGACCCACTTGCAGCCTCCTGCGATGGGCTTCCTGGAAGTTTCATAGCAATAATGGAGGTACTAACACACACACACACACCACGCTCCTCGACCATTGCCTAATCGTCTCCTTGACCTCGCTCTTCTCAGGCAGTCAAGCTCACCCACCATTACTTCATCGAACACCACCAACCATTGCGCATCTGTAGCGACTACCCCTCCTCAAGGGGGGCAAGAGTGAGATGGCGGGCGTGGGCGCCGGGACGGGGGCGCTGGGCTCCGTCATCGTCAAGCTCGCCACCTTGCTCGGCGACGAGTACACCATGCTGAAGAGGGTGCGCAAGGACATCGAGTTCCTCCAGCGCGAGCTCCGCCAGATGCAGACTCTGGTGAACGTACTCGCGGACATGGAGGGGCTCGACGAGCTTGCGAAGGGCTGGAAGAGCAGCATGCGCGACCTCAGCTACGACATGGAAGAGTGCATCGACCGCTTCATGCTCCGCCTCGACAACGGCGACGCCAAGCCTGGCTTCGCCAAGAGGACCGCACGCCAGCTCAAGACGTTGTTCACGCGGCATGGCGTCGGGACCCAGATCAAGGAGCTCAAGGCCCGCGTCACGGAGGAGGGCGAACGGCGGCAGCGGCTGAATCTCGACAACTACGTCCCAACGACGACCGTTGCGATAGATCCCCGGCTAGCTGCATTCCACGGGGTGGCCAAGGGCTTGGTGGCCATGGACGGGCGCACGGTTGAGGTTATATCTTTGTTGGCGGAGAAGAGCATGGGGCTGAAGGTGGTGGCCATTGTTGGAGCCGGAGGGCTCGGAAAGACCACCCTTGCCATGGAGGCCTTCCGCAAGATTGGAGAGCGATTCCAATGCCGAGCTTCGGTGTCGGTGTCGCGCACCCTTGATCCCGAGAAGCTCTTGGAAGATATCCTGTCTCAAATCGACAAAGTTGTATCTAGTAAATACCAGTCGGAGAGGTGGAAGAAAGACCAGCTAATCCGTGAGATCCAACAAATCTTGACAGGAAAGAGGTATAATTTCTTCATTCATACATGTTTATTTTGGGTGTGGCTAGGTCTTAGTCGACTGAGACTTAACCAAGTCTAACCAAGTCTTAGTCAAGTGATATACCATGTACGAAAGAAAAATGAAAAAAACTGAAAACAAAATTTTGCATGGATCTTGATCTAAGGTCTCGCGAATATAGCATCGACTAAGACATAACTATCTGGTCTCCACCCTCTCCGATTTCATATAGTGAAACCATCTGGTCTTAAAAGGACTACAAACCCACACATACATAGGTCTGGTCTGTGTGCAAAATCTTCATATTTGTGTTAATGAGATTAATTAATAGCAACTTTGCATATAGGTACTTATTTGTTATTGACGATGTATGGAAACAACAACAATGGGAATTTGTCAAAGCAGTTTTTCCTGACAACAATAATGGTAGCAGAGTAATAGTTACGACACGGATTACTAAGGTAGCCAAGTCATGTTGTTTGAACTCTGCTGATCAACTCTATCCAATGCCACATCTGAAAGTTGTTGATTCCAGAAGATTGTTCTTTAAGAGAATTTTCCACTCGGAGAACACCTGCCCTACTCATCTAGAAGATGTTTCAGCTAGGATCTTAAAAAAATGTGGTGGTGTGCCATTGGCTATAATTACCATTGCGAGTTTGCTAGCCAATAAACCTCAAAACCAAAATGAATGGGACAGACTCCAAGAGTCCATTGGTACTGGTCTTTCATATGAGAGTGATGATGATGGAAAAGGTATGAGACATATATTGTTACTTAGTTATTGGGATCTTCCACACCACTTGAAGACTTGTTTGTTGTACTTGTGTATATATCCAGAGGACTGGTATATCCCGTGTGAAGAACTGAAATTGAAATGGATATCTGAAGGATTCATTGATACAAGACGGGGAAATTTATATCAAGAAGCAGAGAGCAATTTTAATGAACTTGTCAATAGAAGCCTGATCCGGCTAGTTTATGCTGATCTTGAAGGTGATGGTTTTGAGCAATATTGTCAGGTTCATGATATAGTGCTTGACCTCATAATATCTCTGTCAGAAGAAGAGAATTTTGCCACTATTTTAAACGGTGTTTGCAATTCTTTGCCAAGCAAGATCCATCGATTCTCCCTGCAATCTGGTGGGCATGAAGAGAAAGGGGCATTCCAAGCAATCACAAGAAGCAGGTTACATGTTCGCTCAATAAATGTGTTCGGAGAAAGAAAGCAGATTCCCCCACTTGTGGACTTTCAGTCTTTGCGTGTGCTTGATATATGTGGCGACAATAAGTCGTGGGAAAACAAACATATAAGAAACATTGGAAGTTTCTGTCAACTGAGGTATTTGAGAATTAAGTCGTTAGGAATCACAAAGCTTCCCGAAGATATCGGAAAGCTACAGAACTTAGAGACTCTTGATATGCGTGGCTCTTTTATAACAGAGCTGCCATCAACTACAGTCCGACTACAGAATTTGGTGCGCCTATTTGTTTCCTGTCTCTGTGTGTTGTCTGCAGATATGTTTGGGAGCATGAGAGCCCTGGAGGAAGTGGCAGATATTAATCAAATTGACAACCCTGAGAAATTTTTGGAAGAGCTTGGACATCTAAATTTTTTGAGAAAGATTACGATGACTGGACCATGGACTGAACTCGAAGGAGAAAGATTGGCATCATCTCTGAATGGGTTGGATGACAGCCTTCAATATCTTTATGCTCGTGGAGAAATAGGAGAATATTTGTTCAGGGATCCATGCTGCACTTTTCCGCACCTCCAAAATCTTAAACTAGTGACCCCCATGATGAGGGTTCCCATCGGAATGGCCTTCCTAACCAACACCCTCAAATTAGACATAAAAGTCAAACAATTTGATGATGAAGATCTCGGTATTCTTATGGATATGCCTTCTCTGGCTAATCTCCAGCTAATAGTTTCAAGATCAGGTGGCGTCCTGACTGTAAGTAGTAACGGATTCAAGCTGCTAGAGGTGTTCCACTACACAAATAAGGCATACGAAACAACGGGTATAAATTTTGCAGCAGGTGCGATGCCAGCACTCCGATGGCTCTATCTATATTGGAGCCACTGCGGTTTTGCGTTAAGGAATATTGAGAACACTGGCATGGGCTTCGAGCATCTTTTAAACCTTGCTGACCTCCATGTCGAAATTTCTGTTTATCGTTCAAATGGGGACGAGATGGAGACTGTGGAAGGTTTCGTGGAAAAAGCAATCGCTTTGCACCCCAACAGTCACAATCTTCAGCTCCGCCTCAGTAGAGCTGTGAGGTGAGAAGCAGCAAGAAGAGCAAGTGATGTAGTTGTATCTTTCAAACCTTTTGTTACATTGAGTGTTTGTAATAGGGTAGTTTGGTTGGTGCATCAGGTTTTTCGTCCCATAGTCTGTATTCGAGTACGAGTACAGACAGTGGGTTTTCCTGATGCGCGTCGAACCCATAATCTACTTTCTTCTTCTGTTCACAGGCTTGTTGTTTCCCTTTTTCAAGCTTCTCTTGCCTATATCTAGATAATTTGAACTATTTATTTGAATCTTATAAGCTACTGTATTTGGAAAAGCCAGGGTTTTTATGTTTCAGCAAACAACTTAACTGAACCAGCTGTAGTTGCGTGGAAATGGCTGGTTCAAATCTCTGAATTGCACGAACACCTCAGTCAACAGCTTCAGTTTATTTATATTCGTAGTATACTAGCTGAACTGTTTGATGTTGGTATATATATGGATGTACATTGCTACTTGATTGGTACTCTAGCTGGGAGGGCGGGCAGACGGTTCCTAGTGGTGAATGTGAATTGCCCGGAAGCGGCAAGCCAACTAAAGCTATATTGTTGCATAGCTGTAGATAAACATGGGTGTCTAAGTATCAGGCTCAGGCTGATGGATTTTTCAAGTACCTGATCGCCCATGTCAGGTAAACCTGCCCTGATGAAGGCATACAAAGCAGTCATGATGGCGAGCGAGGACTGGACGTAACAGCACCCAGCTTTTCTTCAGTTTTGCAGTTGCTCCTCAGTCAATTTTAGCACAAATAGGAGCATATTTGACACATATTTTAGGAGAAAGCGTGGAAGCACAAAAGAGAGGCAGTCCTTCCCTCCTTCCTTCATGATTTAACAGAGTCTTCAACCAAGGATCTGAAGATGTACACTTAAACTGAACATTGCTAGTTTCAGGCATTCAGTATCATCTTGTTTCCTGATTTAACAACAGTAGTATCTACTGTAGCATCCAACCTTTTCCCGATTATAAGCGCTAGGTCTTCGTTGGTTCCAAAGAAACAATAGGAGCCCCAAAAGGAGGCTTGTTCGGACGTGGAGACGACGAGAAGCCGAAGAAACATCAAGATAGGACAAAGATGCATTTGCAAATAGCTAGGGATATAAAATTATGACCTCAGAGCTTGCGCCAAGAAGATCGTCCATTAGCAAAAGCCTCTGGAGTAAGTGGTTTCCCTTCTTGTTTCCTCGGGTGTTGGCTTTTCCTTTGCTTTTCATTGTTTTTGTGGGAAACGGGTTTTCACGCGGCTTTTGTGTATTTTTGCTTCTTCTTTTTTCGTTCCGCCTTGTTTTAGTGTTTTTTCGGTTTTCTCTTTTACCTATGTTTCTCCTTTATTTTTCTTGTTTATCTCCACCTTTTGCATTTTAAATTTCCATTTTCCAAAGAATTATAGGCATATACTGTTGATAAATATGTGACCATTTTCTTTAAAACTGCATGGACGTTTTAAAAAATATGGGAACGTTTATGTCCTGAACATTTTTTATATGTAATTTATTTCTAAATCATGAATTTTTGTAAAGGTGTAATTTAAAAAAAATCTATGAGCATATTTTTAAATGAAAATAATGTTTTAGAAACATGTGAATATTTCTTAAACTCCTGGTGTAGATTTTCCTCCGGCTGTCCGACCCAGCCGACCTCGCCCGTGCCTCCGTGGCCTGTACCTCCTTCCGCCGGCTTGCCACCGACGGCTCCTTCCTCACTAGCTTCCGCCACCGCCACGCCCCACTCCTCCTCGCGCTCCTCGATGCAGACGGGTTCCACCTGGCCCTGCCGCCTCACCCCTCCGCTCTCGCAGCCCGCGCGCTCGCCCTCGCCACTGACTTCACCTTCTCCTTCCTCCCCGGCCACTCCCGCTGGTTCAACCTGGACATACAGAACGGCCGCGTCATCCTCTACCGCCGGTTTGAACAATTATGGGCTGCCTGGAGTCTTCTGGGAGCTCGCGGTTTGCGACCCATTGCACCGGCGGTATGTCCTTCTTCCCCAACTTCCTGACGACCTAGCCGCTATAGTGTATCGCCTGCTCACCAGCCCTTTCCTCCTCCCCCTCAGCGAGGACGAGGTGGCGGCTGAGGAAGAGACGGCATTCAAAGTGATATGTTTGGCACGCGGCAAAACTAAACTGGTTGCCTTCGTCTTCTCTTCGAGCATTGGACAATGGCAAGCTGCCGCATGCATGGGTTGGAGTGATTTGGCCCTTGACATGGTTGACTCGGCCACAATGTTATGGATCAACCCTTGTTATTTCAGGCGCCATTATGCTTATGGCTGCTTCTACTGAGACTGGCTGATGATCCAAAAGAAGCAGTTGCTCGTGCTTGACACTGGGAGGGTGCAATTCTCCATTGCCGACCTCCCACTTGGAGGATGGTGCACACAAGGTGTGGCCATTGAAAGATAATTTGGTGTGTGAGGTGCGCTTCAAATTTCAGGTCATTTGGACATCTGAGTAGCTCTCGGCAAAAAAGACAAATTTTGGGTTTCTAAAATAGTTTACTGTTCATGTATTGCTCTGGACAATTTGTCTCATATTTCCAAATGATCTGAAATTTGGAGGGCATCTCACGCACCAAATTATCTTCCATGCAAAAATAATCCGGATTTTTTTTATGTTTTTTAGTATATTTGTGAATTTGATCTTCAGTGGGTGCAAATGAGCCTGGGCTCAGAAATGGATATTCGTTGTTGGTATTTCATTTTGGATTTACTCCCTTATGGTGTTTTATGTTTGCTTAATGTGTTCATATAAGTATTAATGTGTACATATAGTGAAATATGATATAGTATGCCAGCTATCCAACTGAATCCACTCTTGTTTCATTCTAACAAGCAACCCACTTATCTCTTTGAATCCTCTATATCAATGGAGGCAAAAGCGCGAGATAACCAATAATACTACAAACAAACACCAATCTTCTAAACTACACAGGGGAGGATAGGAGATGGACCGACGGGTGTTAACTTGGAGGCATGTGAAGATGGAGACGGAGAGAGCATGGTAGTGAGAAGAAATAATGTGACTGGTACATTACTAAACACCCCCCCTTTGTATGAGTTAGATCACTATAGAAGCAACACTTAGGGTGCAAAAATAGAATAACTGAACACTTCATCTAGTTTTATTGGTTCTTAGATGGACGTGTATGCTCCGGGTGGATCTTAGATGTATGCTCCCGGTGGACTACGTGGAGCTGGTGGATGGACGTGTTTTGTGTATTGGTGTCATTCATGGGGTTTTCACGAAATGGATTGAGCACTTCACCGGCTCCTGCCCACGAATCTTGAGCATCCATCCAAGATCCGAGAGTGAATTGCAAGAAATCACCACATTTGGGGATTATCTTGCAGAAAATCACCTGGTCGCTAATCATTTGCAAAAATCACCGCGGATTCAATAAAAGTGTTGCAAAAAGCATTGAACAGGTGATTTAGCCCGTTTAACCATTTTCTGACTAGTGGGGTCGGACTGTAAGGAGCTGATTTGGCAAAAAATTGACATATACCTCCCTGGATCTTATAAAAGAAAAGCAATCAAGCCCCCCACCCCCTCCCGCGCGGAGGGCATCTCCTTCCTCTCGCCGGGAAGAAGCAGGACGGCGGCAGCTGGGCGGAGCTGCAGGCTAGGATCGGCAGCGCGGCGGTGGGATCCCGCCAGGAACAGGCAGCGGATCCGGCAGAACTGGAGGCGGCGCGATGAACTGAGAGGGGGCGACGGCCTCGGCTCCTGCAGCAAAACGACGGCGAGGCGGAGAAGTCATCAGCGGCGCGACACAGCCTCGCGTCTGTGCACCAGCAGCCGTCGGGTCTCCCGGGGTTCGGCCGCGGCGCGCCGCCCGTGCCCGCGCAGCTCGGGGTCACCAAGTTCTCCTACTGCCTCCTCTCCCGCCGCTTCGACGACGACGCCGCCGTCTGCGGCGAGCTCGTCCTCGGCGCTTCGTCCGCCGGCAAGATGCAGTACGCGCCGCTGCTCAAGAACGCGGGCGCCAGGCCGCCCTACTCGGTGTACTACTACCTGTCGCTGGCCGGCATCGCGGTGGGCGGGAAGAGCGTGGCGCTCCCGGCGCGGGCCTTCGCGCCCGTGTCCGGCGGCGGGGGCGGCGCCATCATCGACTCCGGCATGACCTTCAGCTATCTGGACCCGACGGTGTTCAAGCCGGTGGCGGCGGCGATGGTGGTGGCGGTGGGGGGCCGGTACAACCGGTCCAAGGCCGTGGAGGATGCCCTGGGGCTGCGCCCCTCCTTCGCGCTCCCGGCGGGCGCCAAGACCATGAACCTCCCCGAGCTGTCCCTCCGCTTCAGCGGCGGCGCCGAGATGCGGCTCCCGGTCGAGAACTACTTCCTGGCGGCGGGCATGGTCCAGGGGGCTGATTGATTTTTTTAAAATCTACTAGGGGTCTGTGTGTGATTATTTTGGGCCCCACCTATGGGAAACGCCCTCAACCGCGCCAAATTACCTGTTCAGTGCTTTCTGCAACACTTTTACTGAATCCGCGGTGATTTTTGCAAATGATTAGCGATCAGATGGTTTTCTGCAAGATAAGACCCAAATGTGGTGGTTTCTTGCAATTCACTCAAGATCCCACATCTAGTTTTACGCCCTAAGAGTTGATTAGTCTTTCCCCATGGTGTGCCTTGGTCGATGTTGGCATAATTATTTAACACTACCACTGCGAAAGCATGCATTGAAGATGAACCTAGTGGACCTAAAAAAGCTGCATGCTACCGTGAGGGTGGTTACACAATACATGATGGTGTGCCTATATATAGGTGATCCAAACGTAAGCTCTAGACTTATTAGCTTAATATATATATATATATAGAATTGATTAGGAGTAGTAGTTTTGCCTTGATGGGACAGCTTGCTACATCCAAAGAGTAAAATAAACGGTTGGTGACAATCTATGAGACCGATGGGATGCTAATGAATGATTATCAGTAGATGACAATCTCTATGAGACCGATGGGATGCTAATGAATGGTCCGGTGGGACCTACTTGGCAGCCTCCTCCGACGGGCTTCCGCGAAGCTTCCTAGCAGGAACGGATGCATTACTACGCGGGAGTAGGAAGAAATTATGTGGTTAGCGGAGCTCATTTTCCACCAAGCTTCCACGCCCGTTCACACGCAGACTCGGTAGCAGGCCAGCGACAACACACCGCGCTCCTCCGCTCCGATATTGCGCGTTGATCACTCCATCGAAGACCACCAAACATGGCGCTTGTGTAGCGGCTTCCTCTTCTCTAGGGGGCAAGAGCGAGATGGCGGGCGTGCGCGCCGGGACGGGGGCGTTGGGCTCTGTCATCGTCAAGCTCGCCGCCTTCCTTGGCGACGAGTACACGATGCTCAAGCGGGTGCGTAAGGACATCGCGTTCCTCGAGCGCGAGCTCCGCAGGATGCAGATCCTGGTGAACACGCTGGCGGACATGGAGGGGCTCGACGTGCTGGCCAAGGACTGGAAGGGCAGCATGCGCGACCTCAGTTATGACATGGAAGAGTGCATCGACCGCTTTATGCTCCGTCTCGGGAACGGCGACACCAAGCCCAGGTTCAGGAAGAAGACAGTACGCCAGCTCAAGACGCTCTTTGAGCGCCATGGAATCGGCTCCCAGATCAAGGAGCTCAAGGCCCGTGTCGAGGAGGAGAACCAACGGCGGCAGAGGCTAAACCTCGACAAGTAGTATATTGTAAGTCCAACAAGGGTTGTGGCAATAGATCCCCGGTTAGCTGCGTTCCACGGAGTGGCCAAGGGCTTTGGTGGCCATTGACGACCGCAGGGACCAGGTTATCTCTTGGTCGACGGAGGAGACCGAGGAGCTCAAGGTGGTGGCTATTGTTGGAGGTGGGGGGCTAGGAAAGACCACCCTCGCCATGGACACCTATCGCAAGATTGGAGGAAACTACCAGTGTCGAGCTTCGGTGTCAGTATCGCGCACTCCTGATCTCGAGAAGCTCTTGAAAGATGTCTTGTCTCAAATTGATGAAGCTGCATTTAGTAAGTGCCAGTCGGAGAGATGGGAGAAAGGCCAACAATCCGTCAGATCCGATGGATCTTGACAGGGAAGAGGTATAATTTCTTCATCCATACATGTGACTAATATTTGATGATATGTTTATTTTTCCCGGACACAACCAGTTATCTTTTTGAAAAATAAATGTAGTGAGCTTAACTAATAGTGTAACATTGCATGTAGGTACTTCCTTGTTATTGATGATGTATGGAAAGTACAAGACTGGGAATTTATCAACGCAGCTTTTCCTGACAATTATAATGGTAGCAGAATAATTGCTACTACACGCATTGCCAATGTAGCCAAGTCATGTTGTTCGAACTCATGTGGCCGGCTCTATCAAATGCTACCTTTGAATGATGTTGATTCCCGAATATTGTTCTTTAAGAGATTTTCTGACTCGGAAAGCTCCTTCCCTCCTCAACTCGAAAAAGTTTCAGCTAGGATCTTAAAAAAATGTGGTGGTCTTCCATTGGCTATAATTACAATTGCGAGTTTGCTAGCCAATAAACCTCAAAACGCAGATGAATGGGAGAGACTCCAAGATTCCATTGGTGCAGGTCTTTCATATGAGAGTGATGATGGTGGAAAGGGTATGGCACATATATTGTTACTTAGTTATTGGGTTCTCCCGCACCACTTGAAGACTTGTTTGTTGTACTTATGTATATATCCAGAGGACGCGAAAATCTCGTGTGAAGAACTGAAATGGAAATGGATAGCCGAAGGGTTTATTACTTCAAAGCAGGGAAATTTGTATCAAGAAGCAGAGAGTTGTTTTAACGAACTTGTCAATAGAAGTATGCTCCAGATGGTTAATGTTGACAGTTTTGAAGAGAAGTATTGTCAGGTTCACGATATGGTGCTTGACCTTATAATTTCTCGGTCAACTGAAGAGAAATTTGCCACTGTTTTGAATGGTGTGTGCAATTCGTTGCCAACCAAGATGCGTCGACTCTCCCTGCAATCTAGTGGGCTTGAACAGAAAGGGGCAATCCAAGCCATCATAAGAAGCAAGTTACATGTTCGCTCATTGAATGTGTTTGAAGAAACAAAGGATATACCACCACTCGTGGACTTCCTGTCCTTGCGTGTGTTTGATATATACAGGGATTATTCGTCATGGGAAAACAAGCATATAAGAAACATAGGAAGTTTCTACCAACTGAGGTATTTGAGGATGAGCGCACTAGGAATCACAGAGCTTCCTGCTGATATTGGAAAACTACAGAACATAGAGACACTTGATTTGCGGGGAAGTCGTATTAGAAGACTGCCATCAACAATAGCCCAGCTACAGAAACTGGTACGCCTATTGATTGACAACGATGACTTTGTGTTTTCTGCTGATATGTTTGGGAACATGCGAGCCCTGGAGGAAGTGTCAGATATCTATAAAGTTGACAACCCTGAATTTTTTTTGGAAGAGTTTGGACATCTAACAAAATTGAGAAAGATTTCGATGAGTAGGTTATGGGGGTGGTGGCATGTGAATTTCGGGAATGTTAAATGCTATCGAGAAGCACTGGGGTCATCTCTAAATAAGTTGGGTAAATACAGCCTTCAGTATCTTCATACTAACGGAGATATGGGAAACATTATATTTAGGGATCCATGTTGCACCTTTCCACACCTCCAAGATCTTAAACTGGTGCATGACATGGAAAGGATTCCCAAGGGAGTGGCCTCCCTAACCAACATCGTGAAATTGGAGATAGCAGTCACACAATTTGATGAAGAAGGTCTCCACATTCTCATGGGTATGCCTTCTCTGGCCTATCTCCAGCTAACGGTAGGGTTTCGTGGCGCCATGAGTCCCATGACTATTAGTAGTAACGGATTCAAGCTCCTAGAGGTGTTCCACTTCCACTGTAACATATCATACGGAGAAGTGGGGATAGAATTTGCAGCAGGTGCTATGACAACACTCCGGCGGCTCCATCTTTCCTGGCACGCAAGGCTAGTTAGGTTGAGTTCTAGTGATGATGTTGGCATGGGCATCCAGCATCTTTCAAGCCTTACGCAAATCCAGGTCGAAACTTGGTGTGTTGGTGCAACTCTAGAGGAGGTGGAGGCCCTGGAGGGTCCCGTTGAAAAAGCAGTCACCTTGCACCCCAACCGTCAGACTCTTCAACTCCATCTCCATAGAAAAGACGAACATCTTATGTTCAAGGACGAGGAGGAAAGGAAGAGGGGAAGGCCCGCTGGTTTCTTCGTTCCTTTGGCCATGTTGGAGGAGAATGCGCTAGAGGTATACATCTTGGCCCGCTGGTTTCTTCATTCCATTGCACTACATCGTGTGATTTACGGATTTCCCCCCTTTTTTTCCTCCACAGAAGCAAGAAGATCAAGTGAGCTGAGCTAGATGTTTGTTTCTCTGACTCCGTGCTCTGCCATTTACCATTTACCCGGCTCTACAACTTATCTCCAGAATACTGATAGTGGACACCTTATACTAGGATGTTTAAAATGTCATCTGATTCACTGATTTATCTTACAATTTATTGCTTATCGGTGGGTGACTGCTGAGATTATACCTTATCTTTGCTATTTACCATTTCGACCAATTTGTCGCTGTGACAAGCGATTAATCAGGAATCTAGAAATTAATTAGGCTGGGCCCCTATGGTCAGAAACCTTAAATCATGGCCTTCCCTTCAGTGGCCTCCCACACAACACACTTCATCCCCCATTCAACTGGACATGTGTTGTAGTGGTTTCCTATTTTATTTGTCAATGACTCATTGTTTGACATGTAATATGTAGTTATATATTGATGTAGTGTTTTTCTATCTAAAGGCTGGAGCACACTGGCGATTGTTTCCATTTTTACCTTGTTATTGTTTGGAACCTGGGAATTGCAGCAAAAACTGGCTGATTAGTTGTCGATCGATAAAATCAATTAATCGACCGATTTCAAATTAATTTCTAATCCTTAGCCGACCGAAATGCTAACGACAAGCGATATCCTCAACATTGATACTAGCTAAGACCTTTTGTTACATTGTGTTGGTGCATCAGGTTTTTCATCCCATTGTTTGTATTCAAGTACGAGCACAAGCAGTTGGTTTTCCTGATGCATGTCGAACACATGACCTATTTTTCTTATTCTCTTCTCAGACATTTCCGTCCCTTATGCAAGTTTCTATTGCATGTGTCACCTAAGCTATTTTCTAAATCTTGTTATTTAAGAAGGCAAGAATTTTATGCTTCGGCAACAAATGAACTGACCAGCTGTAGTTGCCACGAAATGTCAGGTTTATTTTAAAAAAAATCAGATTTATTATAAAGATTCACCGGAAATATAGATCACCCCAAACATATAAAAAATTACATCGAGGTCCATGGACAATTGAACGACTATTGCCGACACAAAGAGCCACCAACGCGCCGCTGTCGCCACTCCCATACCGGAAGCGGCCTGACCTTGTTGATGACAACCGGGAAGTCTTCGTTCACGTGCCCCTAAGTGTCGGTGTCAAAACCGGCAGATCTCGGGTAGGGGGTCCCAATCTGTGCGTCTGAGGATCGAAGGTAACACGGAGGCAGGGGACGCGATGTCACCCAGGTTCTGGCCCTCTTAATGGATATAATACCCTACTTCCTGCTTGATTGACTATAATGAGTATAGGGGTTACAAGAGTCGATCTACCTCGAGATCGTAATGGCTAAACTCTAGATGTCTAGCCTGTATGATTGTGATCTCGCCCTACGGACTAAACCCTCTGGTTTATATAGACACCAGAGGGATCTAGGGTTGTACAGAGTCGGTTACTGAAGAAGGAAAGTACATAATCTGAACGCCAAGCTTGCCATCCACGCAAAGAAGAGTCTCATCCGGACACGGGAAAGGTTCTTCTATCTTGTATCTGAAGGAAATATGCCCTAGAGGCAATAATAAAGTTATTATTTATTTCCTTATTTCATGATAAATGTTTATTATTCATGCTAAAATTGTATTAACCGGAAACTTAGTACATGTGTGAATACATAGACAAATAGAGTGTCACTAGTATGTCTCTACTTGACTAGCTCGTTGAATCAACGATGGATATGTTTCCTAGACATAGACATGAGTTGTCATTTGATTAACGGGGTCACATCATTGGAGAATGATGTGATTGACTTGACCCATTCCGTTAGCTTAGCACTTGATCGTTTAGTATGTTGCCACTAGTAGAAAACGGAGCTTTAAAACCGGTTTGTAAGGGCCTTTAGTGCCGGTTATGGAACCGGCACTAAAGTGTGGGCACTAAAGCCCCCCCTTTAGTACCGGTTCGGTACGAACCGGCGCTAAAGTGCCACCACGTGGCGTGAGCTCACGCCCTGGTATGAGGGAGCTTTAGTACCGGTTGGTGTTACCAACCGGTACTAAAGGTTATTTTTTTTATTTTTATTTTTTTGAAAATTTTGGAAAAAAAATTGATTTTTTTTTATTTTTAATTTTTCTGAATTATTTGATAATTTAGTCTCTAATCACCTCTCTTAACTGCTCAAGTGTGGATCACTCATTCCAAATCATCTAACTTCCCGACCGGTCACCCATCCCTCTCACTACTCCAGCCCGAGCACGCTTAACTTTCGAGTTCTATTATCCTTCGTTTCCAGGTCTACACTTGTTGTTTTCCTGACAATAGTAAGATGTTAATCCTATTAACCCTCAGGAGTTTAGCTTGAGCATGAAGTCACACATTTCACCGTTTGAGTTTGAAACTATTATTATAAAAAAACAGTAATTATTTAGTAACGCTAATATTTCTTGAATAAGTTTGACCATAGTTTGACCACAGTTTGACCATAGTTTGACCATATTTGACCAAAATTCAAAAAATTGAAATAATTATTTAGTAACACTAATATTCTTGAATAATTATGTAGTAACATTAATACTTCTTGAATAAGTAGTTTGACCAAATTTAACCAATTTTTTCTAGAAAAACTGAAATTTGACCATATCTTTTTTTCCTTTTGGAATTTGAGGATTCTAAAAAATTCCAAACAGACCACAGTTAGAAAAACTGAAATTTGACCATATCTTTAAATTCCAAACGCTCGAACCTGGGTGACATCGCGTCCCCTGCCTCCGTGTTACCTTCGATCCTCAGACGCACAGTTCGGGACCCCCTACCCGAGATCCGTCGGTTTTGACACCGACATTGGTGCTTTCATTGAGACTTCCTCTGTGTCATCATCTTTAGGACTGATGGCTCCTCCGATCATCAACAACGATACGGTCCAGGGTGAGACTTTTCTCCCCGGACAGATCTTCGTATTCGGCGGCTTTGCACTGCGGGCCAATTCGCTTGGCCATCTGGAGCAGATCGAAAGCTACGCCCCTGGCCATCAGGTCAGATTTGGAAGTTTGAACTACATGGCTGACGTCTGCGGAGACTTGATCTTCGACTGGTTCGAGCCACAGCCGAGCGCGCCGCACTGTCACGATGGGCATGATCTAGCTCTGCCGCCGAACAGTGCCCTGGAGGCCGCACCAGTGTCCGCTCCGACCCTTAGCTCGGAGCCGACTGCGCCAATCGAGGACGAGTGGCTGGACACCGCCTCGGGGGCTGCAATCTCTACGGTGATCGAGCCGAACACCAGCCTTGTCCTTTGCAAAGCTCGTGCCTTCAAGGTACCGGACTCCTCTCCGGACTCCGAACCTTCCGCGCCCCTGCCGATCGAATTCGATTGGGCGCCGATCATGGAGTTTGCCGCCGCGGACATCTTTCAGCACTCGCCCTTCGGCGACATTCTGAATTCACTAAAGTCTCTCTCTTTATCAGGAGAGCCCTGGCCGGACTATGGTCAGCAAGGTTGGGATGCGGACGATGAAGAAATTCAAAGCCCACCCACCACCCACTTTATAGCCACTGTCGATGATTTAACCGACATGCTCGACTTCGACTCCGAAGACATCGACGGTATGGACGCCGATGCAGGAGACGACCAAGAACCAGCGCCTATAGGGCACTGGAAGGCCACCTCGTCATACGACATATACATGGTGGACACCCCAAAAGAAGGGAATGGCGATGGAACAACGGAGGATGACCCCTCCAAGAAGCAGCCTAAGCGCCGGCGTCAACGGCGCCGCTCTAAATCCCGCCAAAGCAAAAACGGCGATTTCGGCACGGGAGATAATAACACCCCGGACAGTGCCGAAGACAACCCCCTCCAGCAGGATTCAGCACAGGAGAATGGAGAAGCCATCCCTCATGAGAGAGCGGCAGACAGAGAGGTAGAGGACGATATATTACATGCCTCCCTCCGAAGACGAGGCAAGCCTCGACGACGACGAATTTGTCGTGCCTGAGGATCCCGTCGAACAAGAGCGTTTCAAACGCAGGCTTATGGCCACGGCGAGCAGCCTCAAGAAAAAACAACAATAGCTTAGAGCTGACCAAGACTTGCTAGCCGACAGATGGACTGAAGTCCTTGCGGCCGAAGAGTACGAACTCGAACGCCCCTCCAAGAGCTACCCAAAGCGCAGGCTGCTACCCCGATTAGAGGAGGAAGCACCTAAACCTACATCACCAGCGCACGACGCGGCCGACTGGCCACCTCGTGGCTGTGACAGAGAGGCCTCTCGGACATCCACTCAAGCCGCACCCCGGCGTCGCTCAAAAAATACCAAGGCACAGGGAAATGCGCCAGACCTACTTGATATATTGGAGGACAACACAAGGCAAACAAGATCGATCTACGGACCGCGTGGGCGCCCCACGACACGTGACGATAATCTTCATGCCGGATATGGCAAATCCGGCCGGGCCGAACACAGCAGAAAAAGCTCATTTGAGCTACCTCGTGATATAGCCCAGTACAGAGGCGCCGCACACCCATTATGCTTCACAGATGAAGTAATGGATCATCAAATCCCCAAGGGTTTTAAACCTGTAAACATCGAATCATACGATGTCACAATAGATTCTGCGGTATGGATCGAGGATTATCTCCTTCATATCCACATGGCCCGCGGTGATGATCTACACGCCATCAAATACCTCCCACTCAAGCTTAAAGGACCAGCTCGGCATTGGCTTAACAGCTTGCCAGCAAAGTCAATTGGTTGCTGGGAGGACCTGGAAGCCGCATTCCTCGACAATTTCCAGGGCACCTATGGGCGACCACCAGACGCCGATGACCTAAGCCACATAATTGAGCAGCCAGAGGAATCGGCCAGACAATTCTGGACATGGTTCCTAACCAAGAAAAATCAAATAGTCGACTGTCCGGACGCAGAGGCCCTCGCAGCCTTCAAACATAACATCCGTGACGAGTGGCTTGCCCGGCACCTAGGACAGGAAAAGCCGAAATCCATGGCAGCCCTCACAACACTTATGACCCGCTTTTGCGCGGGAGA